TGTGGGGCTGGCCCTACCCGTGGAGGGCGGTCTGGAGTGATGGGCCTGCGGTGGTCTGGCGGTGTAATGAGGTGGCATGGTGTAGGAGGGGGGTAATGGGAGCTGGCACCCCCTGGGGAGTGAGCTCCGGGGATGTGGGGTGCTGGCAGTGGGGATGGGGGTGTGGGGCCTGGCAGTGGTTGGGGAAGTGGGGTTGTGTTGAAGAAAGGAGAATGAGGAGGGCTAGCACTGATCATAGGGGAAGAGGGGCTACTCCACCGCGAGAAGGGGAGTGTGAAAGCTATGGAGAAAACAGGGTGACCAGGAGAGGACCTGACCCTGAGTGAGGGACTGGGGATGAGGGAGGGCTGCTTCAAGGGAAAAGTTTGGCACTGTTGGAGATGGACATCTCAAATCTTGGTGGTAGATAAAATGAGCAGATATTGAGTACGGTGCATGGCGTTAGGCCGAGTAGCAGCTAAATCCGCTGGGCTTTAAGGCAGGTTTGTTACTGTGGTGTGAGACTACCTGGGACCGCTGATGGGGCACCAGTCTGTTCCACTGATGAAGCTCAGAGGAGAAAGGGGTGTTTCAGGTGAACCGAACAGGGTGCTGGGACTGGGATGGGGAGGAGCCTTAAACAACTGCTCTGCTGAAGTGTCTAGAGAGCTGAGTGGAAGACCTTCTCCTACTTGTGGCTGAGAGGATTCAGCAAAAATGTCACTGTTGCCTTTTTCAGAAACAGGTCCCTGAATGCCTGTTCGTAGCACTGTTCTGTTTTCCTGCCGACTCAGGAGTGGCCGTAGGTGTAAATACTGATACTGGCCAAGCGGAAAGCATTGATTAGCAATCAAAATATTTTATGTAGGAATTGTGGATACACCACACTTATGTGGCTTCTGGAGAGAATAAAGTTGAGTTATTGCATTTCCTCCCATTGACTTAGCATTAATATCTGCAGTGCTGTGCTTCGGTATTTTCCATCCTTTATCTCTCTTTGAATTACAGATGTTTTAACTCTAGCTGTTTGTTCTCTTGGCAGTTTATAAATACTCTACTTGACTTCTACTTTACTGCAAAGTCTTTCCCTTGTTTACATCACTTTGTTAGCTGTCACTGGCTCAAACATATGCCATCGATTGCTTTCGACGTGAATGAAGCATACCTTTTGATCTTTCAGATACGCTTTGTGGAAAGGTTTTGTTCTTGTTTTTGCGTTGCCTCCCCTAGCGCTGGCTAAGTGGTAGTGAAGGCGACTGATCTTTTTGTTGTCTTTTTGCTGAATGAAGCTCCACCTCATTATTTACTTAGAGAAAGAGGTAGTAGAAATCTTGTCCATAATTCTCTCTGTCCCACTGCACACTGACGGTATTATATTGGCATCCACTTCTCTCTGCTTTTCCTTTTTGACTTCATCAATTCTTTAAAAATATTATCTTTACCAAAAAATGATACTGAATCACAATTCAAATAAATCTCCTACATGTATATCCCAAGCCAGTGATCCTTTTATCAATTTAATCATTTTTTTATCTGCTCATAATAAATGCTTTGCAGTCCCCTGCCGTAAAATGTCTGAACTAGTTGTGCTAGAAGATCCTTACATCTGCACATGTGTCCATTGATGCTTTTTTGGGCTACAGGGCATGCAGAGGACTGTCCAGATGCATTTTTCTTTCAGGATCAGAGATTCTAGGTGCATCTGCAGTAGATATTATTGCAGTTTATGTAAATATATACAGAGTGTCTTCAAACTAGTTTGTTAAGGAACTGTTAGTCAAGTAGAAGCAGCAGCCAGGAGCTTGGCACGTACAAGTGTGCCAATACGTGGCCAGCTGCTGAGAGGTATTTGCTGCTACCTTTGAACTCAGCCGTACCACGGCCGTATGACCGAGAGCCTCCAAGCAAGTTCAGTGTGTCTGCAGCTGCAGTAACCGTTTAAGTGCTCTTGAACTTACTCATGAAAACCACTTAATCCTTTATTTGCTACACAGCGTACCATAAATGCGTGGGGTGTCATACGAGTACGTAGTACTTGATATATTGCTGTAGTGACATTTTGTTTCCCCCGTCATTTTCGGCATCAATTGTCAGCTTCTTTCATGGATGTGTTCATGATGGTGACAGTCAGCCTGAAAAACACCAACTGCTTAGGAATGTTAATGCTTTCATTTGCAAAATCATGCACTGATTTGAGGAGCGTCTGTTCTTACGGCCAGCCCTGGATACCTGTGGCTCTGCTCAGAGAGTCTAAGTAGGTTACTGCGCAGGCAGCTTTCTAGAGCCAGCCCAATAGATGCTTTGAGCGCTGTAATGAAGTGGAATTTAGATTAGCTGAATACGGTCCTGTGCGTCATCTTTTTAGCTGGAGATGAATGCTCGTGTTAGGAGGAGCTGTAGGCTCAGCACTTGTTTGAAGCCCGGACTGCTCTTTGGAGAAATTAACTCATGAACAAAACCGTTGGAAACTCCTGCCTTTTCTAAACTAGTGTTGTTCTGAAGAAATTAATTTTCTCTTATACCAGCTAATGACCTAGGATGCTAGACTGGTAGATCATAAAATAAAACCTATATCTTTATTCATCCTTCCTACACTGAATACTACCTTAAAATTTACAGAAACACTGTACTTTATTGTTGAACAGAAAGGCCTTTCTGCCTTCAGCTGCTGCTAAAACTGTACTAGAGGCTTTTTTCTATGGCTGCTTTTCATGGTGATTATCCTGTTGCTTTCGACCAGCAAAGAAAGTTTCCAAAGAACAGGGTTTTTACTTCGGAATCAGCCAGATGGTATAAAACAGGAGGCATCTTTATGTGCGTCTGGAGAGATTAGCTCCATTGAGTTTTGGATATTGAATAAGTGAAACAGCTGCTGCACCTGGTTTCTTTGTAAGATGTTTAACTGGTGTACTTCATTACAGCCCCGGTGAAGTCAGCGTGGCTGTTTTTACTTGCATCAGAGAGATTTGACCCTCCATGCACACAAACTAAGTATGGCTGAGGGCACTATAATATATCATCGAAGAAAGGGAAATGTTTCCATCAAAGTCTGGCAAACCAAAGGAATTTATCAGAGAGAGAGTAATGAGTATAGCGTATTTTCGACCAGCTCAGTCTTCTTCCTCTTTGGTGTATCTGTGACACTCAGGCACGCAAGACGTTAAATGGTAAAGGCAAATATTTGTTAGACTGCCAGGGACAGGTTGTTGCTATTGAGAATGGCTTTGAGAAATTTTTTTCCTGATGTAGTTTCCTTAACTTGAAAATCACTTTTGTCTGATGTCTTTCCCTGTTAGTCTTACAAAGGGCAACCCTCCAACGTGAATTAATAGAAAGGAGTCCAATCTCGGTAAAAGCTTTGCTTTTCTTCTTTTTTTGACACACAGGAGTTGGAAAAGATTTTAAAACCAGGAAAAAAAGTAGCAGTTAAGCCACCAAATTGTATGTTTGGCTCAGAGCTGTATTGTACACAAAATTACTTTAGCAATTTTCAAACTGATTACATTGAAGTTGGTAGTGCCCTTTTCAGCTTGAGTTATTGATACGAGACCCATCTTACTGTAACAGCTGCAATTTCGGTCTACTAAATGGAAACAGTTGATACAGGGAAGAGCCAATGCCTCATGCTATTCAGAGTTTTCCAGCACCCGGTATGCTGATGACTGCATAAACCAAAATTCAAAGCCATTAAACAGGCCATCACGTCAACAGTACAGGTGGCAGCGAGAAAAGCACAAGTTCAGGAAAGTACAGCCTGAGCTAATTAATAACTCTTTTCTAAAATGCATTAACAAAAGACTCCCACAGCCTCTCCCTGTTGCCTTACTAATGAGACAGAACTGGATTAATGCAGTTAAGAAAATCTCTTCAGTCTCCGAAGTAGTCTTCTGATTGCATATCTGGGACAGTTCCTCTAATCAGCTTTTGGTTATTGAAGGCTATTGCTATCACCTTAAAAAGTTAATTATTTTTAGCTCAAGTGTGAAAGGAAGTCTGAGTGGAGCTTGTTTTGTAGATCCTGATCTTCTGTAGTGGTTCTTTTACAAGCCCCAGGCAATATGAAAATCTTGGGTTTTTTAATTGATGTTGGAAATCATCCCAAAATATGACTCCTCACTTTCTTTGATTTTTATTTTGAGTCATAAGGGTGTTTAAACCCTTGCTTCATTATCCTTTTAGGGTCAGTATATCACTTGGGCTAGCATACTGGTTTTGGCTTTGAAAGGGGTCTTAGAGCCTCAGCTTTGATTCAGAGTCTTGACTATTTTGCACTTGGTTTCTGGCTCAAAGCAGAGGCTTTACAGCCTCTGATTTAATATCAGTATATTATTGTAGTTGAGGTGTATAGGGGAAATCGGGATCTTAGTCACCCATTAAAAACATCTTGCTGTCTGTAGTTACAGCTAGAAGTATCTTAGGGCTGAATAATTTACTCTAAGGTCTTCCTTTTGAGCACCCAGTCCGTTAAGGCTGTTCCATCTTTGCAATAGTGATTTTTTTTGTGTGTGTGTGTGTGTGTCCCCGGTGACACGATGTGCAAGCATGTCATTGGGAGAAAGTCCTGGCTGATTACCACTAGAGGGCATTGACCATTCTCATTAATTTTATTCTCCTTCTGGAAATGCAGGAGTAAAGTATTCCCCCTGTAAAGATTTTCTGTATCACTGTGAAGACTCCTACCTTCTGCCACAAAACATGGAAGTCAGATTGGCAGGCTATATTATACATGCGTCCTAGCAGATATTCTGCAAAGCCAAGCTAGCTCTGTTGGTTGTGCTGCTTGCTATTTAGAGCTGAAGAAAAATTCAAACGTGTCAACACTAATGCTTAACCCACTTGTTCTTCTTGGTTTATGTCTCATAGGTTTGGTTTGGGTGTTCCTGTTATTCTGAGAAACTCAGAAGAAATAGAATCCAGCAAAAGAGTATTGAAAAAGCAGATGAGACAAGTGAAGAATCCTTTTGGGTTAGAAATCCCTCGTCCTGCTGCGGCTTCAGTAACAAGTCAGTGGATTTTTGATGTCCTTGATTTTTGTCAGTTTGGCTTCCTGAACTTAGTTCTTTCTGTTTTCTTGCTCTCACCCTTTTCCTTTATCAAAATTCCTCAGAACTTGCTTCCTCCCATCATTACAAAAAAAATAATTTTTACACAGCTTATAAATGTGGTGTTTTTAAAAGTGAAATGTTTGGATATTTAAGTACAGTTTAATTCTTATTAATGAAACACTTCCTGCCTTAACAGCTTTTTAAGTAACAAAAACATTTGCAGATTACCAGCTGCTGTGGGTGTTTTTGTAAACTTTACAGAATTATAGAATTCTATAGAATTCATTGTAGAATATATGCTGCTCACTTAAATCTAAGTCCAGATCTCCAGCGGTGTTTGGAAGCGCACTACTTTTAAAAAATAAATAAATAAAAATCTCCCTATCTTTCTGTCTGTGCTTCAGTGGAAACTGAATTTAAATACCTGTTTGGATCAGAGTTCAAGTAGTTCCTAACGTCCTTGAAACCACCCACGTAGGGAGGGAAATTCGTGCCCTTCTGCATCATTGGCGAGTAGTAAGGAAGGCTGAGCATCTTCCACCAACACAGAGGTGGAGCCTTCCTATGAATGAAAAAAAGGCTGCAGCAGTTTTACCCCTCCCTCAGCATAAAAAAACCCCACCAAAACCCAACAGACCCAACAACTTGGTCTTCAGATAACTTGGATTTTTCAGGAGGTTTGAGCACTTGAATTTGGTGGGACTTTTCAAGAGTTCTGCTTCTGTTTGTGTTTAGAAGTTAATGGGTTGGGTACTTGATTTTTAGAAAAGAAACAGTGCATAGATCGTCTTTTTATCCTCCCTCTGCATGACCAAGAGGGCCTTATTCTTTGAGATCACAGAGAGAGCTGTAGGCCAGTGATCCAATTAATACCGTTATCTAAGGAGGGAATGGACTTTGGGCTAGGGATTGTGCTCTTGGGTCTTCCAGCGAGTGTATAAAATATTACCAGAAGTGAAAATTTAGCCATCATAAAATGCACATGCTACTTTTGTTAGCTTAATCAGCCATTTTATCTCCTCATACCCACTTCTTTGTCTCCATTGACTTTCATAAGCACTAAAGCTGGTCCAAATTCTTAGAAGATTAGATTATAATGATAAAAATCTGGGACACTGAAGTTGTTGTCTGCTTGTTGCCCTTTAAGAACCTACATTTAGCAGTTCCAGAATTCCTGCACGTGGGTGAATTAATGAAATCCTTATTTTCTTTCTACAAGAGGGTATAACACTGACACCTGATTGTCTGGAAGACTGTATTCTTACATGCTACTGGGGCTGCAGTGTTCAAAAACTTCACGAAGCATTGCAGAAACATGTCTACTGCTTCAGAATAAAGACCCCTCAGGCATTAGAGGATGCTCTGTACAGCGAATACCTCTATCGACAACAGTACTTGTATCCTTTTTTTCAATTGTTTTGACAAAATATGCTAATTTATTGGCACAGGGAGTGTTGAGACTTGTGAACATTCAGCAGTTCTTGGCACAGTGTATTTATTTATGAATATGATGACAAATATTCTTTATGCAAACGTCACATTTGTGTACAATTGCAGCTACACTGATTGTTTTCCTTGACACATACAAAGCATTAAAAAAAATGACAAGGAAGAAAAATATTGTCAGTTACCAGAAGATGCTCAAGTTGTCGATTTTGGCCCCGTGCCTAGATCTCGCTATCCGTTGATAGCATTGTTGACGTTAGCTGATGAAGAAGACAGAGAAATATATGATATTGTAAGTACTGTAAGAATATATTTTAGAGTTGCTGTATTTAAGGTCTGAATGTTTCAGGAGACAGGCTTGAATAAAACAGCTTCCTTTCCCTGTCCCATAGAATTTGGTCCCTAACTTTGTCACTGATGACTCCAGGGGAGCATGGCAGAAGAGCAAGCATAATTGTTACATAAAAATCATGTGTGCCATTCAAAAGATGATTTTCACAAAGCTCATATCTGCCAAGGTCTCTGTGGTAAGCCCTGTGGTTAGATGAGCTAGGGTTGTGGTAGGTTAGTAAGCTATTACTCTGATTTTTCTGATCGCATAAACCTGTGGTGGAGCTCTTCTGCTGATACGGTCTTTTGGATTGCTGTTGGCAAGGTAGGAGGATTTTTTTTTTTTAGTATCTGGCACAGATATTTGAGCTGATTGCTGACTTGACTGTTAGGAACACAGAAATTACTTTTCTGCAACAGGCCTGAGTCTATGTGATGCAGTACATTATGTCTCACAGTAGCCGGCTCTAGGTCATTTACAGGAAGATGTGAAGGTCTTGCAGTAGGCTGGTATGACACACTTGGTTCCCCAAAAAGGTCTCCTCCTAATCTCTTACAGTTAAAGCAGCTTCAGCCTTGTCACATGCAGGTGAATATCCCTTCTAAACTCTAAATTGGCTGATTCTTTTTGGAACGATTTGGGGCACACTTTTATCTCCCGTCTTTTCATTTGGTTGCTAATCTGATAGCACTAACTGCTTGAACAATAGTACAAACGAACTCGGAAGCAAACTGCCTAAATCCACTGAACATTTTTCCATACGTTTGTTTGGAAATTGTGATCACACCATTGCCTAAGAAATCTGTTTGCTTTCCAAGTGATGCATGTCCTTGGCTTCTTGTCGCTTGACCTTAGGACTGCCTTCCTTCCTCCTGTCCCCACTCGAGATCTGCTCCCCAGCTATTTCCCAGATTAGTACATCTATATATGTTTAGAACTCAGATTAGTTTAATATAAAGAGACGGTAAATTTCGTATTTGAATGTGTTTGACATTAGCATGGACATGAATTTGTAACACCTCTCATTTGTTCCTTTACGTAGAAGAAGGGGATGGAAGGAGAGTGAGAGAAGTATTTCTCCTCTGGATTTAGAGAAAAGGAACACAACTAGAATCTGTTAATATGGTCAAAGGAGTAACTGTACCTGAACTTGCCAGACAAATGTCAGAATTGCATCTGTTGTTGTTGAAAAAAAAACCAACTTGTAAAATATAAATACAATGTGGAAAGGGATATTTGCCACTGTGGTCGGTATGGTATTACTGCATTATTCTCACATCAGTGCATCAAACTCCATCTTGAATTTTTGTGTGTGTGTGCATCCATCGCTATGGATGGTGTTACAGTATCTCTTTTCGGGGGGGTCTAACTTTCATCCTAACTATTTGTGGCCAGATCATCCCTATTTGGTTTTGTGCCATAATTTTCCTCTAGCTGCAGAAAATTAGCACAACCATACATAAGAGTTACAGAAATCATTTGAAGACTGGCTGGGCTAAAGTGGACGAAGGCTTAGATCTCAGGCCTGCGTATAAAACAGAAGATTGAGAAGTAACTTGGCTATGGTGTACAAGTATTTACAAAGAGAGAAAATACCGGGTGCTTAAGGGGAAGGGGTTCTATAATCAAGCAGCATAGCGTTTCTACTAGATCATAGTATCACTCTATATGTTTCTTTACTATGGGACAGCATAACAGAGGAGACACTAGCTTGAGGATCAAGGTGCTTGCGTTAGGAACTGGTCCCACTCACAGTTAAAAAGTTGCCTCGGTGTCTGAAGAAACTAGGAATTGAGGAGGTGAGTCGTCACTGAGAAAGCACTTATGGTGGGATGACATAACACAAATACACTGAGAACAGTTACTTTTAAACTCCTCTTATCAAAACACAAAATCTGTCATTTTAATGGGGATTTAATGGTTTTCAGGTTCCAAAACAAACAAAGCTAATAGTGGTTTGGGGTTGGTTTTGGTTTTGCTTTTTGTTTTGTTTTGTTTTTTTTTTTAGGCATTGTGATTTAGGAAAAAAGACCTTATTGCCAAAGAATAGTAAATTCAGTTAGTATAAATACATATGTATAGGTACATATATATTTAAACTCTGCATGTCATTAATCATGTATGGATTTTGAAGTGCAAGTCTGATTTGCCTTTGAAATTTTTTTTAAACAAAACAGCTTTTTTCTATATTTCATTTCTCTTTTGACAGCTTCTGGGAACTACAATAATATTGAATTTCACTTTCTTTTTTCCCTGCTTTTCAGAGGCTATTACGTAATTTGGGCAGGGTTAGAGGTATTAGGCACAGCATGCAAGCTTCAAGTGCTTTTATTTTCGGAAAAATGACTCTAAAGTTAGCCCATGGGGTCCTTTCATAATCCTTTCCAGTGAAATTTGTCTTTTTCCTACTCTGTTTACAAGCCAATCAGCGACAGTTCTAAATGTTTTTTGGAGTCTAAAAACTGCAGTCCCTGTGTTTGTGAGGAAAGTGGGATAAAGCAGAGAAGACTTTGCCTTTTACGTGTTCCCTTGTAATCCTGCACTCAAACTTCAGCTGACAGGGTCATTGCTTGTGTTGAAGACAGCTCGGGGTGCGGCTGCAGAAGTTGTACTGGACTTAAGCGCATGTGCTCGCATGGGGCTCGGTTGCTGTAGGAAACTCCTTGCAGCTTGTCAGCTTCTAGGTGGGAGAGGAGGAGCTCATCGTGAGTTAGTGGAGTGGAAAGAGGATTGTAGGAGCTGCTACTTCTGGTTGCAATCATTATGCAGGGAGTCTCTCTGAGGCATATCCGTGACTGTGTAAGCCAGCCCTACCTCAGCTGCATAAGCATGTACCTTCAGGAGGACTGTGTGTGCTTAGGTGCCTTCTTGGTTTGGGGCCTAATTCCATTAGGTGAGAGCAGTCAGAGCAGGTCTCTGCTGTCAGCTGGCCATGGGAGGGCTCCCTGGAGAACCAGGATGGAAAGCTGAAGCACCACAAAGTGCTGGTTTGTGCCGGGTCCTGTTTTTGCCTGGTCCAGCCTATTTTTTTGATCTATACGTGAAGTCAACATTGTTGAAGTCCTGATTGTCTAAGGAAATAAGCAGGTCAGAGGTTGTAACAAAGTATGCAATCTTTCAAGCAAACTGTTCTATATGAATCATATAATGAAATAAATGTAGCTTTTTTTCTTTTTTTGGTAGATTTCAATGGTGGCTGTAATTCACATTCCTGATGAGAGCTACAGGCTTTCCTGCAGAATATTATATCAGTATCTACTTCTAGCTCAAGGTCAATACCATGATCTGAAGGTAAGTCACGTACTGAGTCTTGTTTCGTTTGGGCGACAGTGTTAAGTTTAGTTTGTGTAGGCTTTCAGGAGCCTAAATTAGTATAAGACTTTTATTGTCATGCAAAGAACTGGATAATAGTTAAAATTATTTTATCAGTTCAGTCATTCCAGACAAAATTACTGTACAGAAATACTTTATATGAAAATACGCAAGATTTCCTGGAGGAATGACTTGATTCTAGGTTAGAAGGCCTAAGTCACGTCCACCGATTAAAGCAGTAGTAAGAAATTAACTAGCTGTTGAACGCTTCCTCTCTACAGAACGTTTGTTACCTTCCTGCTAGTATCCAGCACTTTCTCCTATACTGCCCTTCAACTGGGAAAGCCTCAGAAGAAACATTTGTTTTTAAATTTGTTTTTACTGCAATACATGCACAAAGGTTGAGGATCTGCCTAGCACGTACCATTATAAGTTAAACCAATATTCTCCTTATTCCGTTCCAATTTCTGTTATCTCTGCATGTTGTGGAACCATCTTTGGCCTGTGTCTATCAGGCAGTTGATGATGTGATTCTATGTGATTCACTTTTATATTCCTGTCATAATAAAAATAACATACGGTATTGATAAGCTAGAAATCGGGCCAAATTAATTCAGTTGACTCGATTAGCATTCATTCAGAAATAGATTTGCCCAAAGAAATGTTTGTCCTGGCCATTTTTTGCTGACAGAATTGATCCAGGTAAACTTCCCCGTTGATCCCTTTAAGCTTTCTTTTCATGAATGGTTGCTGTTGTAAAAACACTGCTTAAACTGAAGAGAAATAACTGTGCAGCTGCATTTTGTGTAGTTGTATAGCGTGCTCTCTACGGGCATCTTTGGCTGCATGCTAGTTTACTGGCTTTATTAAGTGATCACGCCCAGAAGAATTTGTGTTTCACATAAAATAAAACAAAAAGGAGTAGGGGATTGTAATATGAGCAAGAGTGGAATGGGTTGAGTGAAGTTGATTTGACAGCTTGGTGGATGTGCTTTTGGTAGGAGTGGATAGAAGCATGCCTCTAGGCCTAGAGGATGATATACCAGAAACAGAAACCCGAGCTGCGCAAAACGTGAGCAGTTCTGTTAAAGTTCATGCATGTACATTGATTTGATTCAGCTAAGATTTGATGACTTACCCGTAATATTTTCCCAGTGTTTTATGTAACTTTATGCTTCTGAAATACCTTTAACTGAAGGCCTGGCAACTGTCAGGGCTCACGCAGAGAGTGAGTCTGGCACTATTTGACCCAGTGGAAACCAATGAATCTGACCCAGTGGAGCTTCAATCGTGTCTGTGTGTTCAGGTATCGGGGGAGAGTTTGTTGACTTCTAAATGTTTGCATATGTGTGTATTTTAGCAACTCTTCATGTCTGCAAATAGTACTGCACCGTCTCCAAGCAATACATCCCCTGGTGAGACAAGCACTGACAGAAGCTTGCTAGAAAAGGCCGGACTGGCTGAAGATGAACCAGAATTGCATGAAGAAAACAGTAAAGACTGTGTTGTTTGCCAAAATGGCACAGTGAACTGGGTACTCCTACCCTGCAGGCACGCGTGCTTGTGTGATGGCTGCATTAAGTATTTTCAGCAGTGTCCAATGTGTAGGCAGTTTGTTCAAGAATCTTTTCCACTTTGCAGTAAAAAGGAGCAAGATGAAGATGAATCGGCCCATATCTTGCAAGATGTTCTTCCTGGAAGAGTTTTTTAATGAGGAAAAAAAATAGAACTGCGTTGTACGCACCAAGATTGAATGTAGAAAACAGACTGTTTATGGGAGGATATGTAGCATTAACTTGTACGGGTTTGCTTTTTATTGTGAGGTAATTTTCAGCTTCCTTATTTTTCTTCACTCTATATGCTCACAGGAACACTATGCTTATCCATGCACTGCGGACAGAAGAAGTGTGTAGGATATCTTTGAAGGATGTGATTTTATTTATAACTTCATACTAGTTTTTCATGGAGTACTATTGGATGCTATTTTGCTTACTAAATTTAGTATATCTACTAAAAAAAGAATAAAACTTGCAAGTGCAGTTGCACGCAGCTCATTCTGTATTTATTGTATTTAAAATACTAGGGCAATATATCATTTTAACTTGGTATGATTTAGAAACATAGCACTTTACAGAATGTATCAAATGAAGGAACGTAAATATTCTTTGTTGTTAAACCCGTGTATATTTATTTTGTAGATGAAGGCTGAACTGTGGCAGGAGCTGGGAGTTGAAGGTGTGATTCAGGACATTGTTTCTGGCTGTTTTGAAAGATTTGTGCGTGCGTGTGTGTGAGGGACCTTAGCCAAAGCCCCTTCGAACGAGTGGAAAGATTTTTGTTGCTTATTGTTGGCTTGAACTAAACGTTGCTGACACTTTCAAGCCAGAGCCTCTGCTATGTCATCTGGAGACACAGACTTTTCAATCTTGTTAGCAATGGCTGTAAGAACCTGTTCTCCATGCAAATGTTAGTTAATTACTCCATAGAGTGGTTACTTGGGCAGTTTTGTGGTGCTATTCTTGTACAAGTAGCCTGCTTTGGGGAATTTCCAACTCTTTTTGCTTGTATAGTCAGCTTGGATGCAAACTTAACCATTTACCTTTTATCAGTAGTCCCAGGGAATTTACTTATTCTAATAAAGAAAGAAGCTAAAGAATAGCAAAAAAAATATTTCTTTTTCCCTCCAATGGTGTACTGTCAAAAGCAATAAAAATGGCTGTTGAGAAGAGAAAGTGGTGGTTTGCTTCTTAAGAGAGAGCCAAATGCTCCTAAAGACAGACGGGCTGGGTTTCACATCTGCTTGTATAAGGCAAAAATACAAATGCTCGTTAGAACCTGTAGAAAATGGGGAGCAGCTGCTTTCTGTCCTCCCTCTTGTTCCCTTGCTGCTTTTCCCCACATCCAATTCCGGGACAGCTGCTCGGTCTCGGGGAGAGAAAGCTGTACTCCGAGCTACTTGGCTGCGCTCTCCTGCAGCTCCTTTAACGGTGCTGCCAGTACAAGGTACACACGAGGTGCTGCACACCTCTGAACCAGGCAAAGAAGCTTCCCCTACTCAAAGGTATTCCATCTTCATCTTTCCATCATTATTTTTGTTTGTTTGTTTTTACCATGACCCTCCTTCCAAACTCCTGGCGATTGCCTCCGAGGAGAAGATTTAGGTGGTGGTGGTGGAAAGAGTAATGCTTAGTTGTAAAGACAGATAGAGGTTAGGAACTGATGCATGTAGCCATGGATTTCCAGCTGGCGATCAGCAGGCTGTTTGTAAGACGAGTTGTCTGATCTCCGTAAAGTGACCTTCCTTGCCAGGGACAACTCGGCCGTAAACGGCTGGCCAAATCAGTCTTTTTGTTTGCACTGTATATCAAACAGGAATTAAATACCTCGGTGTCTGTGGGGACTGATTAGTGCTTGCAGAGAACTTTAGAAAACAGATGGTTCTGTGCAGAAATCGTCAGGGCATAGAGTGGGGTATGTGCTGCAATTCAGGAGGCTGAGAGCAATAAGAGGAGAGCAGAGAAGAGTGTAATAGCAGAAAGAACGAGTGCTGGTGGCAGCAGGGCCATACCTCAGCTAAGAGCACGATGCAGATGTGGAGCAACAACAGTGTGATGCAACTCAAGCGGACCCAGAGCTGCCTCTATTAAGAGAGAGTATAAAGACCGTAAATATCAACACGGTGTCTTCACCACTCGGGATGTATCAGAGAGGCATGATGAGGGCTTGTTCTCTGTCTCACTGTAGGCAGTCCTCACCTTGGACACACTCAGACACGTGTGTGTTGGTGCTAGTGAGAATGTGAACATGCAAGAACGAGCGTGAAAGGATGAGTGGGTGAAATCAGTCTTAAAAATCGCCTTCCCTTTCCACGTGGTCTCGCGTTGAGTTTTGCTGGCTTGGTTGCAGCACACCTGGTGAAGGCAGCTGCTGAGTTTAACCTCCCTATCTATGTCACTAGCCTTGTTCTGCCATTAAAGAGGAGTAGCTAACGTGATGATGGGGGAAATAATTTCTCTTCAGCATTCCCTTCATCTCCATGCGTTGCTCTTGTGAAATGGAAAGCTGGTGTGAATTGTTGTAGGCCTCTGTGGGCTCTCAGAAAAATTAATCTGAAGACCAAAGAGCCTGAGCCATGACAACAGCTGTTTCCGTAGCTTGTGCTACCAGCCTGTGGGGTAGTGGCTGTGCCGCTCGTTATTCCAGAGGAGCAGGTTAACGCTGCACTGGTTCTAACCTGGAGTTGGGCACCGCGTGATAGTTCGCAGGGACTTGGTTTGTCCGTGTAGATGATCAAAGAGGTGGTGTTTACTGCTTGACCACAGTAGTCTCTGACATTAAATCAGTTAATTAAAATTTCTCAACAAGACAGTGTGATCCAAGCTTGTGGGCTTGTTTAATCTCCAAGTGAAACGGTATTCAAGCAAACCCCACAGTGAGTTGCCTGGTCTGTCCCATCCTTCAGCCATTCGATGCCAGTATTAAATAATAATGGCAAACAGGATGTAGCTGTGCTGAACTGCCGGGCCGTGCATTTACCATTAAGTCTGTGCCAGCTTTTCATTTGTTTCATGGTCTTTTAATAGCATTTTCCAGAGATGCTTAGTTGCTTTATCAGATCTCACATGCTTCCTTGCTGGCCCAAATCAAAGACCTGACAGAGAGTTATAAAAAATGCGATAACTGGCTTATTAAGTTTGTCCTTCTTCTAAGAAGCCATCTCAAAATATAGATCAGGTGAGAAGTAAAAGGAGCAGCTCTAAAGCTGCCTTGTGTGTCCCTTGGTTGTCTTAAAACAGGGATTCAAGGCTCTAAGAGAGAAATAAAACTTGGCCGTGACCCACAAAACCAGAGTATATTGACAGAGGCTGTTCTGCTCTGTCGCCCTGTTGTGATAGAGGTAATATAACACTCCTCTTCCACTCATTAGAGATGATGTTTATGGATGTGGTGACATCCAGGAACATATGCAGACTTCTGGCAACAAGACTTGCTTCTTTTCAGCAGCGGTGGGGTATTACAAATTTGTAATCATTTTTGCTGCAGGAGAGAGGTGGGAGGTACCTCACCGCTTCGTTTGGTTCATCAACTCTAATCAGGGCTGCGGCTTTGAAACGAGTTGATCAAACTGAGTGGTGTTACTTAGGGATGTCCCAAGGTGCCTTTCCAAATGCCAATGGACTATGACGTGGACATCTTCCTTCTGTAGAGAAAGTTGCTCTGTTAGGATCTTCCTCCCTCCCTCCCTGCCTCCTCCAAGTACAGGGCAAACGGTAAGAGGGAGATAATTCAGGTCAATTCACCTTAAAATGGTTTTCCCATTCCCCTGAGGAATTCAGAATTCCCAGAAGCCGCTTTGCAAACGGGTTCAGGCCCTGACCCCTACTCCTCGTGGGCTAAGATGGTGCTGCGTTCCACTGCAGACCCTGTAAAGTCTCACCGCCACCATTGTGGATGACCATGCCGGTAGCCAACACTGCCAACCGGGCACGATGCTGTTCCCCGTCAGGGGATAAGAGAAGGGGAATTCAGCATCTCATGTTTTGGTGGGTCTGAGCAGATGAGAACCCACGTACATGTTTCGTTCAGCTTTAAGGCAAGCTTCTGGCTGAATTTGATTAATGTGATTCATTTACTTGCTAACATCAACCTTTAAAGCTTCGGTATGGGAAAACGAGCCAGGGGTCTGAGTTTCTCCTGCTAGTTTGTGCGCTGCTCAATCTCCCTGTGCCCTGACGAAGCTCTGTGACATCTGCCAGGTGAAGGAGGTCTGGGGCTGACATGTGCAACTGGCCACCAGTCACCATTTGCTCAGTTGTCCTGATGTCCAGAATAAACAAGGACTGGCCTCTGTCCCTGCGGCGGACTTGCAGCCCCTGCAAAGGCTGTCCCTGGTGTCCTGTATGTTTATAGCTAATGGAAATAATGCCAGGGATGGCTGAATTTTATCTGATACAGCAAAGTCCTCTTCTGAACTAAGCCATTTGAAAGGCTTGGTATTGTCTTGCTGGAGTATGTGGGGCAGGAGGGGCAAAAAGAAAACCAGGCTTAGGGTTATTCAGAAATATAACTTTAATATTACTACCATTTTAACGTTGCTTTGATGGCATACAATGGCTTTGTAACGCAGATGCATACCTGAGCGCAGCTATCAGGCCACACCTGAGAGTTGCAGAGTCCCATGGTTTGCAGGGTCCCCCAAAAAGAGCCAGACCCCCCTCCCTGCCTTGCCACCGCTCTCTGAAGCAGTGCTAGCCACGATCCCCTGGGATGTTTGCCCAGCCAGCGCCCGCAGAGAGGCTCAGAAAGTCTCTGCTGAACACTGCGGAGTCGCTCGGGCAGCTCTACACACTGTTTATGTGTTGCTTTTACTCCCTCGTGTCCATGAGCGACATTGGGTAGAGAGATGCGAGCTTGTAGTGCAGCGATGGTTATACCTGTAAGAAGGGGCTTCTGCTGGTTTGGTTCCGTCGATTGGTGGGAATGTGCAAGCCCTACATCAAGGCATCTTTGTCTGGATGCTGCTGCGTCGGAGCTAGGGGAGTTCCTCCCCTGATTGTGCCATCTCATAATGGGAATGATGTAAAACGGTAAAAATACCATATGTAAACATAGTCTTAAGACTAAGTGAAGCCTTCAGCGGAGTCTGATGTCCAAAGTGAGGACTGTCTCTGTTTCTCTGACAGTATTTTGAAAAGCAATGACATTATAAATTCATGCTGAGGTTACTAAGCCTTCATCGGGGTTCAGAGAAACCCAAAAAGCTCCTTTTACTCCTCCTCCCTACACATGTACTCCTCAGCGATAGAAAGGGCAATACTGTGATGTTTGCCATAGTCGTGACATGAGTCGTCACTGCATTTCCATTCTTCAGAAAACACCTGTACTACCTGTGCCGTGTCTGGATGCTCCTGAGGTTCAAGTGAATCCCAGAACTATTTCTGCGGGACCGGCAATAAATTATCTGGACAATTAGTTGCCATCCCTGGTTTATATCCTCAGCCTGCGGTGTCCTTGTATCAGCAGAAGATTTGTACCTAGAAAGCTTTTCTAGGTTTTAGATGCCTCCTCCAGCTTTTTGTCTTCATCAAATGAAGGCTTTTGGCGGCTCCTAATATTTTTTACTCTCCCATTGCATAGCCACTTCACATCTAATATTTCTTGGCAGA